AAAAAAATTCAGACACTGTGCTCAATGGCAGTCAACACTTTGATGCACCAGTTGAAACGCTGTTTTAAAAATAGTTACGAATTTTCAGCAGCTTTAACCATTTCAATCTCCCTTAACATTTCAGAAGCTTCAGTATGCTTTATACTTAAACAATGATTTCTGCAAAATATCGTGTATATCCCTCTACATAGTAGAATTCTTGTTTTAAAAATTGACAACTGAGCTATACAACATATTTTGATGGTAAATACATTTTGGTGTATTAATCATTACATTGCTTGCTGTAGGATACTTTGGAGAAAAAAATATAGTGTTTTTATGATTAAGGGTATTAAGTATCTCCTATATTTCATTTTGCCAGGGGCAATGTCACACAAATATGTCATCAAGAACCCGTAACTGACTATAATCATTTTTTTCAAGCCAAAAGACAAGTGATTTCTAAGATCCAGCTTTCAACAAAAAGCATGAATGTTGATGCATGGACAATTTCAATGCTAGTATCTTGTGTCTTGCAGTAAGGAAAATACAATGAATGGCATCATCATAGTAGAGTACTTCCATTGGGAATGCATATTGCATTAACTTTCATCAGAAAATTAATTCAATCCCAAAGCATATGTTATGTAAAGTTACACTTGGCAGGAAAATACTTCAAAAGAAAAAAAGAGTAGCATGAACTGAAGACTCACCCAATTAAAGGTGGCTTTTCCCTGGGATTGGGTGGAAACTGGATTTTTGGTTTTGTGGGAAATGATGCAAGTTGGGGAGGTGGGGGGGAAGAGAAGGGAATGTACTAAAAGAGAATGAAAGCAAAAACCTTCAACTTTTCCAGCAAAACAAAGTTTGTGGGGAAAGCTGCTTGGAGTCAACATAAAATTGTAGTTTGGAATTTTAAAAAATAAAAACAATTCCAAAACTAAAAACAACAAGTTCTCCAGAGAGAGTTTATTTTTCCCCTGCCATTAAAGTAGCGTAAGGAGTCTGAGTGCCTCTGCTGGGACTTCTTTCAGAAGAGAAAGTTCAAAATAGATCATTCAAGAACAGAATCTGGATGGAATGATTGAATATTTCTGGAAATACTCCCCGATGACAAGAATGTAGCCTCTTCTCTCAGCTGCTCAATAGGGATGTAAATAATCATTAAAATAGTTAACCAGTTAAACAGATAAAATTATAACATTTAACCATTGTCAGACAGGTCCCACCAGCCTGCTCGAATGTAGCCAGAGTCCTGCCAGCCTAAATAGGCCACTCTGGCACAGCCAGGGCTGGGGGCCTGAAGCAGGTTTGACCCTGCCCGCTACCCCACATGGACAGACAGACTGAGCCAGGGCTGCTCCAGCCTGGCACAGTCAACCAATCGATTAACTGGTAAGCATTTTGGTAAGCCTAATGCTTACCAGGTAACTGGTTAACCTTTTATATCCCTACTGCTCAACACTTCCAATCATCCTGCAAACTACCTGGATGAGCCTCTGCTCTTGAGAAGCCATCCTAAGGTTAACCAGCCTGAATATCTAATGTCCCAGAAGCTCATTCAAGAGTAGACAGCTCAAGTCCATGCCACTGGGAACAGAAACTAGTGCTTGGGCCCCAGAGATGAAGAAATGGAAAAGGTAAGACTCAGAGGACTGGTTCCCCACTTTGAATCATTCCTCTTACCTCTTCTTAGAAGTATTGATGTAAAATCCTATTTAATTTGTTAACCAGTTAAACATTATGTTTAACTGGTTAACTAATTAAGGGTAAAAAAGGGGGCCACTCCAGCAACAGGGTGGAGTGCCCCTGTCAACAGGACCTCCTCAAAATATGCATGAACTGAATATTGTCAAGTGCAGCCCATCAAAATACATTTTTGCAACTGAATGTCAGGGCTGAATTAAGAAGTGTATTCATAAGAACGGCCATACTGGGTCAGACCAAAGGTCCATCTAGATCAGTATCCAGTCTTTCGATAGTGGCCAAAGGGAATGACCGGGTAATCATCAAGTGATCCTTCTCCTGTCATCCATATCCAGCCTCTGACAAACAGAGGCTAAGGACAGCATTCCTACCCATTCCGGCTAATAAGTATTGAAGGACCTAACTTCCATGAATTTATCCAGTTCTTTTTTGTACTCTGAAGTCCTAGTCTTCCAATATCCTCTGGCAAGGAGTTCCACAGGTTGACTGTGCGCTACATGAAGAAATACTTCCTTTTGTTAAACCTGTTAACTATTAATTTCATTTAGTGACCCCTAGTTCTTCTGTTATGGGAAGAAGTAAATAACATTTCCTTATTCACTTTCTTCATACCTGTCATGATTTTATAGACCTCTATTATATCCCTTCAGTCTCCTCTTTATTAAACTGAAAAGTCACAGTCTTTTTAATCTCTCTTCATATGGGATCCATTCCAAACCCCTAATCATTTGTGTTGCCCTTTTCTGAACCTTTTCCAATGCCAATGTATCTTTTTTGAAATGAGGCACCACATCTATATGCAGTATTCAAGATCTGGGGGTACCATGGATTTACAGAGAGTCAATAAATATTCCTTTCTTAATTATTCCTAACATTGTTTGCTTTTTTGACTGCCACTACTCATTGAGTGGATGTTTTCAGAGAACTATCCACAATGACTAAGCTCTCTCTAGAGTGGTTATAAGTAAACTAACCTCCATCATTTGGTATGTATAGTTGGGATTATTTCTTCCAATGTGCATTACTTCACATATATCAACATTAAAAATCATCTGCTATTTTGCTGCCCGAGCACAAAGTTTTGTGAGATCCTTTTGAAGCTCTTCAGTCTGCTTTGTTCTTAACTATCTTATACAGTTTAGTATCATCAGCAAAATTTACCACCTCGCTGTTTATCCCCTTCTCCAGATCATTTATAAATAGGATTGGTCCAAAGTTTCACAGTAAGTTGATAGAATGAATCTGAACTATCGTGCTATAGCTATTAAAATCTATTCTGTTTAAAGCCTACATACAAAATATTTACATTTGCAGTCAATGTAATAATGTGTAATGTAATTACAAGACACATCTTTGGTTCAAGAGCAGCAGCTACTTCCCAGTAACAAAATAGGATAGCTGCAAGCTACATACACACGAGGAATGTGAAAGGTTAACCAGTTAGCTGGTTAACTGGTAAGCATCACTCCATTAACCAGTGGAGGCTGGAGCAGCCTCTTTCCATAGTGAGCCCGAGCACCCCGCAGGCAGGGTCTACTCTGGGAGGGCATCTCTGGCCTTGTCCTCAGCGGGCAGAGGGCTGTTCCAGCCCAGTGGGACTCGAGTGGGGCCCTCCTCCCCGCCAGCACCCCCTTTATTTGATTAAACAATGTTTAATCAGTTAACCTATTAAACAGGATTTTCCATCCCTGATACACACTACTTTCTCTTCCCACATGTTGTGTAAAATATAGAGAGCACACACTCTGATGTTACAGAATTTTAATCTTTAAACTGTAAATTATTTTTGTATCAGGAATATAAATCTGTTTTAACTACGCATTAGCAAAATTTTGATTGCTGACATTACTATCATCTGACATTACTTCCATAGTAAGTAATGCTACAAGAACTACAGAGTTAGAAACAAATGATGATTACTACTTACAGAAAAGAAGGGTTTCCTCCAAAAAAAAATTTTTTTTCCCCCTCTACTGATATTACAAAAATGACATGCACTTTAAGCACAAGTACGAAAAGTGAGGTACATGCTGAATACGCAAAGTTGTGAGGAGCCACGCTCTCTTTCTGAACCCAAAGTGCTGCTACAGTTCAGTCGGCATACCCAGCAAATTTTAGGTACAGGTCAAACTTCTCTAGTCTGGCGCACTCTGGTCCAGAAACGATTTTAGTTAGCTGCAAATCCACTTTTCATGGGCATGGCCAAGTTCCTGTGGTACTATAAAGTTTGTTTACAGCCACCAATCCTGGCTGTCAGTGTTCGGTGATGTTATTTAGCTCCAAATATCTTCTAACAGCCCAGTAAGCACTGGAAGTGCTGGTAATGCTGCTAGACAATCTTCACTTCCCGTGGTCTGGAAAATTCTCTGGCTCAGAACTGGTCAGGTCTTGAGGGTGCCAGACTAGAAATGTTCCACCTCTTACTCAAGCAGTTAGCCAATCTTTCCTATCCTAGGAGACCATCTTGGTTACAACAATCTTGCAGACCACTGAGATGAAGAGGAGCCACTCATGCAGCCCACTCACTAGCCTAGGCAGTCCCTCACTAGGTTAGAGTATGCTAGAGTAAGTAAATATGAAAGCACTTTTACAGGTGAGGCAGCAATATGGCAATGTTTAGCAAAAGAGGTAACAAAGTAGAGAGCCTAGAGAAGTAGAGTCTAATAACCCATGGCAATTGCGTGCCCAGACTCACAAAACACTAATGTGTTCTGAAAGTTTTACACTCAGCAACTGATGCAAGATACCAGGAGTCAGGGTTTCTGGGTTCTAAGCCAAGTTCTAAAATCAATTTCCTATTCAACACTGGCCAAGTCATTTTGCCTTTATGCCTAGATCTTACCAAACCTCAAAATATTTTGCATATCCAGGGCTGAACCCATTTTGCAAACAATGATTTAAAGCTCAACACCCCACTAAGAGAGGTATTGCTGCTTTTACAGATCAGGAAAAACACCAGCTAGAGGTAAGGGATGTGCCCACAACTCCCACGGTGTCTGTGATAATTCAAAGTAAAGGCCAGGTAACCTGAACCTCAACCAGGTGCCCAATCCACAGGAGTTCTCTCGCCCCCCCCAATTCATGCTGCTGTAGCAATACAGGGCACAATCCCCCACGCACACTTGAGTGGCCCATGGATATTGGTCAATCTCCAACAAGGGCTTTGAGATCCTCAGACGCAAAAATAAGGAGATTGCAAAAACTTACTACAGCTTATCAGATCGACACCACAGGGTCCGTGACGGGGAAAGAGATACCCGCAGACCCCTAACTTTCACCTCTGACCCACATACAACCCCGACTTGACGCTGCACCTGTTATCACTAGCTGCCCCGCATCCAAGCGAGGGGCACGCAGGCTTCGCCATCTCTCGCGGTAAAGGGCGGCCCGGAGCACCGCACAACGAGCAGGGATCTTGCCGAGGCAGCCCGCTGCTGCCCGTGCTGCACCTCCCGCAACCTCCACCCCTTCCCCCCACGGCCCGGCCA